GTCACAGCCGGAAGAAAAGTCAACATGTCTTTTCGGACTGTCTACGCATCTTTCCAGCTTATAACCAAATTTTAAGCCTGCACTTTAGGCCTGTAGGTTACTATATCTGCTCGTTTGCAGCTATGATTAGTACGCCAGTCAGATGATTCAGAAAAAATAGGCGAATGGCTTTTCTGGTTGCGTAAGAACGCTGTGGGAATTCTTGTTTCCTTATACACTTTACTTCCAGTTGTGTAGAGGCCGGGCGACCAGATATTCTACAGAAAGTGCTACGACAAGGCTTTGGCTAGGTGTCATCGGTCACCTCCAAGGACGGTCCTTGCCATATTTGAAGAACGAGTAGGAAGCTGTTGGAAGCTGAAACAGTGCTTTGGGAAGCTGGAACAATTGCCCAACACGTTCGTCACTGGAAGCGTATGGAAAGGGCAGTCTGAGGTAAGTGTTACCCTGAGTAGCCGCCGCGGACGCCACGCCACTGCAAGGCTACGTTTATACTTTGCGGCAGCGTAGCGTAGCGCTTCCAGCGTACGCCAGCGGCAGTGCGGGGAGGATGCATATCGATCTAGCGTCACCAGCGTAACGCTAGCGTACGCTAGCGTTTCACCAGCGTTTTGCTGGCGTTTGCAGCGGCAGGGGAGTAGAGACTATGTGGCCATCAGAGACGCGGCAACCAATGTGTATTGTAGAGACTATGTGGCCGTGACAGACGCGCAATCGATGTGTATAGTAGAGTCTGAGGGTGAGTGAGATGAGAGACGCGCAATCGATGTGTTTTGTACCCTCCAGCTCTCCCATAGTCTCTACTCCCCTGCCGCTGCAAACGCTAGCAAAACGCTGGAGAAACGCTGGCGTAACGCTAGCGTACGCTAGCGTTACGCTGGTGACGCTGGGAACGCTAGATCGATATGCATTCTCTCCGGCACTGCCGCTGGCGTACGCTGGAAGCGCTACGCTACGCTGCGCTACGCTACGCTACGCTGCCGCAAAGTATAAACGCAGCCTAACCGCCTCGCGTTCTAACCTCTCATATGGAGAGAAATTTCGGTTGACAACAGCCCCGTAACCGTGGCAGTGCAGGAACAGAGCGAAGATTACCTGATGGGTAGAAGACATTCGTTGTCAAGATAGACAGGTTCGCAGAGGTTGCAATAGATTCAGAACTTGAAAGTGC